TTGCTTATTTGCGTCTTTTATTTTGCTGTTTAGGTAGTAATCTTTCCTGTCTGAAAAACTAGAGTTGTTCCAACCCATGAGAACATTTCAACCTAATCCAGAATAGTTCCCTTGAAGGAATAAAAAGTCAGTGAGGAAAAGGAATGATGTGGCCACATAGTGATGTAATGGCTAGGGAAATTGTGACATTTTAAAATTCCTCGTAATTTCAGTGGTCAGCTGAATGGTCAGCTCCCCAAACTGAAGAGCTCCTGGTAAGTTTATGGGACCTGAAAATAAAGTTACATTTAATTTTTATTTTTAAAAAGGGCCAAGGGTGGGAGGGTGGTGCAGAGGGGGGTGAAATTAGAAGCAGTGCCTTGATCGTGGAGATCCAGTGGAGAAAAAAAAAAGGCAAACAAACAAACAAACAAAAAAACGCCATGAATTTGAGACCATTCAACTTTCTGTTTCTTTGCAAATGGGTTTATATGAAATTGGCAGCCTCCTAATACTTTGTCAGCCAAATTGGCCACATCAGACTATCTGCATGCCCTTGAGGCTGGAATAGTAACATACTGTAATGTGATGCTCTAACAAAAGCACCTAATTGTGAAGAACAATCCATTTGCATCAAGATAAGCAGCTAGTTTCCCTCTCATAGCCACTTAAAGACACTGACTTGGGCTACAGATTACTACCTATTGCTGTTTTCAGCATTTCCCCATCTTTACTGGACCTTAAAAAAGCTGATGCTGTACTCATCACCCCAACCTGTTTTCTGGTTAGTATGACTGACTAACAAAATTATGTCTTGGTCTGTGATTCATCTTGAATAACATATTTTCCATTCACCCAGCAAAAGCCTTGCTGAAAGTGGAAAGGTTTGATCTTTAACACTGAAGCCGTTGCCTGTGTGCTCCTAAAACTCAAGCCTTTTGTACCATGTTTTTATTAGTCAAACATACCATCAGTAGCCAAAGTTGCTTCTGCTGTCAGGGCATGTCTGCAGGCATAATGACTTGGCAATAGTCAAAATCCTGCTATGCACAGGAAATGAAATGTACGGAAATTAAATGCACTGTTGGAAGCACGTGGTCTGTGGGATTCCCACGTGGCTGTTTGGCCCAACTGGAAATCTGAAGATGATGGGAAAAATCAAAGGGATGAAAGACCTCAAATCCTTCAAACAGAAAACAAGTACCTATCCAATCACCACATGGCTTCAATCTCCTGTGGCAACTCCTTACCCCAAACTGAGAAGGAATGTGGCATACAAGACAGTCTTTGTGAAGCAAATAACTAGGCAGGCAGGGGCACATATGGAAGGCTGCACAGTGGTGTTAGAGATTAGCAAACAGGATGGGTTCCTGAACTGCTGAATCTGGCATAGAAACGAAAGGGAAAAGACGAGCAAAAAAGCAGAGAAAGAAGATGGGATATTGTTTGGCAGAGATGCAGGGTTCACATTTAGAGCTGCAGAAGAAATAAGAGGCATTTGGAAAAAAAATGTGATAGGGGAGAAGGATATTCGAACTAGAAGGAACATCTAAGACTTTTGGCTTTAGTAAACCTGACAACCCCAAGGGGGTCAAGACACTGCAAAGATAACACAGGCTACCTCCTCAGCATTTGTCTTCTAGGGGCTTGGTTCCTGGAAGCATAGAAGAGCCAGGCTGTTGTTTCATGCTGTGCTGGAGACATGCAGAACAGGAATCAGCATGCAGGGGACTGGAGCTGCACAACCCTTGGTTGACCCCTTGCAACATATGTTGATTGCTGTTCAGATATGATGACTGTAGATCAGATGTTCACTTGACACTGAGATCCAAAAGTGGGGGAAAGGAGAATGAGAAATTAAATCACTCTTCAGCAGGATTTTATTTGCATTTGAATTAAAACCTGTGTGTAAGACAGAAAACCCTATTGATCTACTGCTGCCCTCCATGAGGGCCAGTTTCCAAGTTCAGAGCAGCAGCAGAGGGAGGTTCCTCTTTACATCATCCCATTAACAGCATATAGACCTCAAAGGCAGGGCCAGGAAGGGCCAGGGCTGTCCTGGCATGTTGCATTGCCTAAAACCAGATGGAATAAATTAGAATTGCTGTTTGTCAAATATGCTAATCCACATACCAAGAGCCAGACTCCAGCCTTAACTGGATTGTTTCTGTGCAAACATTTTATTTTAGTCCCTTACAGTGGTGGATAAAAGGTACTTACTGGTATCCCATCTCCAACAGTCTGTAATTCATGTCCCTACAGAGCTTTAATATGACAGCAATGTCCATTTTAACCCATGGCTGTGGCTTCTCCTGTCCTGATTGTCCTCATTTTTTCATTTTATGTTTAGGATGCTTCCCTGTATCTCCCTTTTTGGTCAGTCAAATGAATTAATACTTGTTCCAGATGCTCCAGGACTTACGTTCCAGTATCATGTCCTGGGAGCTATCAGTATGTTTTAAACATGGAAAGTAGAATAATGTTAGGGGAAGGAAAGCAAATTATACCAACATTTGCTTTAGAAAGTAATACTTTCCTCTGACTAGCCTCAGGCCTAATACATTTATTCAGGATTTAATTAACCGTATCTATTTAATAATTTTAAAAGGAGATTGCAAAAAGTATGATAAAACTCTAAGGAATATAGGTATAATGAAATAGATACATCTATATCTAAAAATATATGTATGCAGTTTACACAAGGAATGTTTATCCTGTTTTGTGCTTTTGATACACTTTTGCCATCTCACCTTATATTTGCACTGTGAATTTTCACAGCACATTGTAATTGGAGCACTCGTTAATGTTGTGTCACGCAATGACAACACTGGAGCACGGCAAGACAGTGCCACACCCTGACAGAGGACTGTGCTCAGCCTGCTGCTCTCCGGCGGGAGCGGCTGGATGCCCCTGCACAGGATCATTCATATCTCCCTCCAAGTGAGGAGGGAGGTGACAAGGTGTTAGCGTCCCCCCAGTCAGTGCCAGCAAGGAGGACCAGGCTGGGACTGTGCAGGGACTACCATGTGTCCACCTGGCTCCCTCCTCTCTGCCCCCTGCATGAGTTCCTCGCTGCCTCAGCTGCAGTACAAAGGTGCAGTGAGGGGCTTTTGGGGAAGAGAGTAAAAACTGTATGTGGAAAAATGTCAGCCTTTGGGTGTTTGTGCATGTGATGAGGGGAAAGGAGAAGAAATAAATAATACTTTGTTTTTAATTTCTTCAGCCCAATCATAAGCTTTTGGGTTTGCTGAACTGAGCCAGAGCAAGGCTCTCAAGGCCTGCTGGGTCCATGACTGCACTCCCATGCCAAACTCACAGCACTGCCTCTTGGATCTCTTGGGCCTCCCTTGTCATTGCCTTCGGGGGCTCTGTGCCCAGAGCTGGGGCCCCACCTGTCCGTGGCTGGGGGGACAGCAGGCACCTCACCACTGCTCAGAGGTGGCACAGCACCCTCCAGGAACATGGTTCATGACAATATGACTCAGAATGAAAGGTTTGGGGCCCAGTCAGCAAGCTCAAATAAAACTTGCAATTTGGAAGAGCCAATTTTTTTTCTTTGATTAAGACATCAAAGCAGATTGTTGCCATACTTCCACATCTCTACTTTTATTCTGTCCCCTCAAAGAGAGAAAGAATCTTCTTGTCCCAATTTGGAGGAAATTAAATGTTGTACAATCCCAATTTTATTTCAATGTGGAATATGGATTTTTTCTTTTAATTTTTTATTCAGTAGTCTCTATAAAATAAACCTTGTCTCCTCAGTATGAAAAGGGATTTTATGCCAAGACAACCCTAATTACAATTTTGGATGTCCTGTTATTGTAAATGTGCTAAATTGAAAGAATTAATCAGGTTTTGCTGAAGACTTTGTCCTACTCCAGCATGGAGCAGTCCTGAAGAACATCTTTAGATAGAAATGTAACCTCCAGTTAACACAAAGTGCACAGAGCACACCCTGAGCACTTGCAGGTCCAATTCACAATACTGGGAATGAAGAACCCTCTCACATCCCAAAAATTGGGTGCTTATGGGAAAAAAAATTCAAATGGTCTTTAGTTTCTCATAAGCGGACCCAGAATTTTGAAAGAGCTTTGGTACAACCTAGGTGCCAGAACATGTGCATAAATTTTTAGGAGCACTCAGCAGAACACCTTTTGGATAGAAACAAAAATTCAAAAATGAAAGTAAAAATCTTCTCAAAATATGACCTCTGTGTCTTCTAATGCTTCATGTATGACTTTGTGTTCTTTTGCTGTAGGCAAACAAAGCCGAATTGGAGTTCTTCATGTCAAAGACAGATCTTTCTTCCTCTCCTGCTTGTCTTGATTTTGTGTTCAGGTTGATTGCTTTCTCACTCTGTGAAGTTGGTTGGTCATGGCTGCAGATGGCCTTACGAACGTTTACAAAGTGTCCAACCTAAGGACTCACATGTTGGAGGTTTGCTAGTTTTGTGTCAGCTTGATTTGTCCTGGTGGATCATTTGGGCCATAGCCTAATAGCTTGGATGCCTTCTGACTGACCTCTCCCGCTTTCTTTTAAGCATGTGTTTTGAACTTCGAATTGTGTTCTGGTCTTGTAGAGAAGAAAATATTTTTTTTTTACATTTTGCTGGGTTTAACAGCAACAAGGGTTTCTGAGGATTAGACACACAGGAAAGGAGATTTAGGGTTACATCTAAGGCAGCAGTTATGGGAAAAGAACAGAAGTTCTGCTTCTCCCAAGAGCTGAGCAAGACCACAGGTGTCAGGAAGAGACCAGCTCTGAGGTCTGATGCCATCATTTTACCCACTGACAACCCTCAACACAAGTTGGGCCTCATTTTCAGCCATCATGGAGAACGATTCTTTTTTTACTTCCCCCCGTCCCCCTTTTAATGTTTGTTTGTTGGTTTGTTTTTTTCTTTTAGTATATTATATCAAAGTTTAGCCAATATTTGCTATTGTGTAGGTGTCCACGATCAATAGCAACAAACATAATGAGAAAATGAGAGGCTATCCTTCCATGTCCAAGAGCAGGTGACTGCCTAGAAGCACACAAGGCTACTGTGGCTCAGCTGGTGGGTCTTACGGCTGCCAGGACCGATACGCAGTGTAGTCTCGTGTTGGGGCATAGGATGGGTAACCCTTGTTCTTCTGATATGGTGGGTGCCGGGGAGTCATGTTCATGTAGTCACTCTGATGGTACATATTCCTTCTGGATTTTTGCTGTAGGAGAAGGGTGAAGAGAATCGTGAAAACTCTCGTTTTAACTGCTGATGGTTCTGGCCTTAGGCCCTCCTTCAGGGAAGCAGACATATTTATAAGGCAGCTTCAGGTTTAAATATATTTACAAAAGAATTAGAATACGTGTTCTCATAAAAGAATCTGTGGAATTTGCCCAACCTGAATGTAAGTCTCCATCTTATCTGCTGAGAGATTTACAGTGTAGTTCTCCAGGTAAAGGAATGCTACAAACCAAGGATACGAACTGATGCCTCTAACCATCACTTCTCATCTGTGGAATGATTCAGCAGAAATACTACAATCTGAGCTGTGAAGGCTGTCCTCATTTATTAGGAGGAAAAAAGAAATTAGCTTAACTTAAACATAATAAGAGCAGGAAAAATCAGCTCAGACTATGTGTACCATGGTTTGCCTACCATTTACACCAGTAACACGCAATGCATATGTTGTTCTGAACCTTCCTTCAAAGGGCAAAAGAATCAGAGCTGATGTCAATCATTTATGTCTCCCTATCTGGGCCTCAAAAATCTCATTTCCACCATTGAATTCCTGCTTATAATGCCCTCGTGAGACATGGGAAGCATCAGCTCTTTGAGAAATAAAAGTACCAGAAAACAGGTGAAATAATTTGCTTAAAATCACAGAGGATGTTTGTGGCTACAGCAGCACTTCAGCCTCTGACTGCTGCAGGCTGTGCACAAGGCTGGTGTTTTTTACATAGCTTATGGCTTTATTGATCAGGGGTGGGTAAAGTGCTTCCATGCTTTTTCCTTAATACTGATCATACCTTCTTTTGCAATCTCTTTGTTACTGAAATTTCCTTCCAATGTACAGAAATAGTTGCATATGCTGCAGTATACATGTGATACTGTGGAATTGGAGGAGGTTTGCCTTAGAAAATCTGATGGCTGAGTTATGTTGTACTTGCAGAGTGGGGCAGTTACTATGAAATATGGTAAGCTTTTTATATTAATGTTATATATATGCAAAGTGTTGAATGTGAGTTACATACTGCTTAAGCCATGTAATGCAGCCAATGCATATAAGGCATTAGATAGAAAAGCTTTATCTATGTGTGTTCATCTCCACAATACACATTACCTCACCTAAGAGGTAATTTTGCTTAGGAGAAAGGCATTTTACTAGTATGAGTGAATGTTGGCCTGTTACAGGACCAAGGACTGCTACTCTTGGAGAAAGCGGTTTTCCTTCGGGGAAGGCAGAACTGTACAAAACCAGACAAATCTTTAGCTGCTTTCAGGAGCTCAAGTGATCAGGCTTAACATGTCTGTCGATTATCACATTTAGGACCTGTTTTTTCCACAATTCATAATGTCTTTTAGGCAGCTGTGTTTACATTCAGCAACACTCTAAATACATCCACAATCAGAGTACATATTATCCAAAGAATACAACCAGCAGTAATAACAGCAAGTAAAAACTGATGCAACAAACAACACACATGGCAATGCAGCCTTGTCACTCTTGCTGGGGGCAGACATGTTAGTAGCAAAGTGTGTAGCCATTAGGTACCAGCACAGAGAAAATGGTTCAGATGTAAATGATGGATTTGAAGCTATACTATCTCATCAGGCACAGCCACAGTAGCACAGCACTGTAACACCAGCAGCTGTTCGCTCTAATCCTCTCAGCTCTCCTTGGAATCAGCCTCTACAATAGGGCACAAAGAAGGACCACTTGACCTGCCTTTGCGTTTTCCTACGGCAATGCCCCCTTTGATTGTTTTCCGTTAGAAATAGCCATAGATTGAGAACGTGTATTTTTGTGAAGCACTTAATAGATCTCAAGCTTCAGCTAGCAATGACAGTGGCTTTCTGTATACGTGCAACATTCAACCGGTGAGAGACTCTGTACCCTTTATACAGGCTACCTCATAGTGTTTGAAAATCGCTATTCAACAAAATAGAGGGAAAAGTCAGAGTGCAAGGAATAGAGTTCTCTACGTTCAAGTCTTTCTCACATGGAGTACTCCATTGGCTCTGGAGATCACAGTCCTAAGGCTTGTCAAGGAAGATGTCCTGCTGCTGCCTCTGCACCATGCCTCACTCTCTCTTTACTCCAGCAGGCGGAACTGGACGTGACTTGGGCCAGCCAACTCTCCAGAGAGATTAGAAAGCAAAAATAATGAGCCATAAGGCTGTCTCAGCTTTCTTAGCAATAATGTACAGACAAGGGTATTGAGATCCAGGTGCTCCTATTCCCTTATGCTCAAGCTGCCAGAAATACTGGTTACTCAAGGGAATTTCTGGATAGGCACAAGTCACCAGTGCAGATGGTCTTGGGTCAACTGAGGGCTGTTTCATTGTGGGTGAGCTCCTGTCAGTATAGTCTCAAAGGATTTTGCCAGAAATGCTCGTAGTTCTACACTTCCCTGACAGGGACAACTGGCAGAGGGTAGCGACAATGTTCCAGTATTTCTGGTGTGCAGGGCACTGCCGACACTATGGCATTACTGTTTGCTTTAGGACTCAGTGGCAGAGGCCTGACTGCCCCCCTGGAGTGCAGCTGGTGTTTCAGCTCTTTGGGGGTACATGTGGTAGTGTAGGTGTATCTACATAGCTGGAGTGAAGAAACACTGTCATCCTGAACTGGGGCTATCAGTGAGTTAGGGGTAAACCTGGCAAGTGTAGCCTGAGAAATGAGCTAGGGACAAAGAGCATATAGAGGAAAGGAAAACAGAGTTTCTTACCCAGTAGTTAATAAAAACTGCAGTTATTAGCATGCTGTAAAAAGCAAGAACTCCAGTCACTGTTGCCATAATCCACAAAGGAATTGCAGACAGAGGCTCTTGTGTTCGGATGGGTGTCTCTTTAAGGAGGAAAGAGCAAAGGAAACTTTAGGTACATGAAAACAAAACCATCAATCTCTGCTTATTTACTCGTTGTTCCAATGTGTCATTTTTATTAATTATCATTTTAAGATGTCTTCTTCGGGACATCAGGAGCAGGAATGTAATTTTACTAGGCAATCCAACTTTTTTTTTTTAAGGGAACATACTGCCTCAAGCCATTATATAGGGAGTGTGTCTAGGGAGGATAATGGCCTTCAGAGCTTTCCAGCTTACCTTGCACATGAATGACGGTCCCATTGCTCTTCTCATTGTAGACATATGGGGGTGGATACAAGACCTCAATTTTGCAGAAGTAGATGTCAGTTTGGCTGGCACTCATATTCCAAAGATTGAAGATGACTTTGTCTTTATCATGAGCCCCCTGGCAGTTGAATTGTTCATTTGAAGTGTTCCATGAAGTTTTGCTTGTGTTCCATGAAATAAAGCAAACTTCAATTGCACTGTCCGTTCCTTTGTGCAGTGAAGCTCGAAATTCCTTCCCCGTTCCGTTGTATGTGTAGTTGCAAATTAGAGTTGCAGTCTTGTTATCTACCTTGAGCAAAGGACTCTGAGCCACTAAAATCTTGTTTTCTGGAAGGGAGGGGAGAAAAGTGAGAAAGGCACTTGTTTATGAAATACAGCATGAGACTTCAGAACCACACATCCTCCCGAGCAACTCTTCTCCATACCTCCTCTCCCCTGCTGACACTCCCTACTAGGGAGTACGCAACCAGCAATCTGCAGAAGAAGCTTCTCACAGGAGCTGTTGTTGCAGCAATCCACCTCTATACAAATAATTACATAGTCACTAGGGGAGACTGTGCGGTCAAGGGTGTTTTTCTGCAGTCAGAACACTAGCACAGGCAGTGGCCCATGCGATTAAGATTTAACATCAGGGCTCAGAAGGCTGGTCTGCATCTGTGTGCATGTGTGTATATATAAGGCCACCTAAGTCTATCTTTTACTTAGCAAGCGGTTTCCCAGGGTACATTATGGAGTGAAAATACTATGAATTGAATGCTTAGTTGAGCAGTCAGATAAGAGATTATTTATACATTTGCTTTTTAATTCAAGGACTCCTGAAGAGTTTGCAGCTAGATTTGTAGAACCATTTCAAGGGTTTGGACCTTGAGCAATAAACACTAAAAGCATGAACTGCTATCATTTTAATGTAAAGTAAGTAATTTCTCTAGCTAGCAGCTGTAGTAGATTCTTAATTTCTCTAAGGACTCAGGAGCTGACTGATTTGACACTGCATTGGCACTTAGCACTTGAATGGCCTGCAAAAAAACATGTCACATGAAAGTATAATTCAATTTGAATTGACCAGACTGATACATAAACAGGAAATGTTTTCTGACATGTAGACCTCTGTGCTACCATCTGCCAAACAATGAAACACTGCAAGGACTATGCAGGAAGAAAACTTCTTCCAAGAAAAGTCATCTCATACAAATGACGCCCTACTTTTCAAAATATGACCCCTAAGAAATATGAGGGGAGTTTTGGCTTTTAAGCTAGGAACTTGCCAGCCCTTTTGTGTGTGTGTAGGACTGTGTAAATTTTCATGCAAGCTCAGCTCATAAGAGGTCTGGATAGTCTTTTGTAGATCCCTGAGAATCACTGTGGCTGTGAGAATGACAATTGTGCCTCTTGCCCTCAACATGTGCTGCAAACCTATGTTCTTTCTACTTAATCCATGTGGTGAGACTTTGAAAGGGTTAGTAATGGAAATGAAGTAGGAAGGAGGGCAGGTCCAGAATGCCCAGAAAATTAGCATTTCACCGTATTTAACAATGTTTAGGATCAAAAGACTACATTTGGTGTGTTCACGCCTGCACAAGAATATGGAGTACCCCAGCCTCTTGAGCAGGATACTCCTTTGGGATAAATGTGGTCCAGGGAGTAAACACAAAGATTTGTGAGATGGACAAGACTAGTGATAGGGTGTGGGCAGTGAAAACAACCCATTGGTAACAGGTTCTCCAGTTACCAGCAGAACCCACAAAACTGCTGAAGTTGTTAATTTTCTCATTGAAAGTCTCATTTACTAGCCCTTGCTTCTAATGAGAGCAGGAAGATGTGAGACAGGGAGTGCTCTGCTGCCTCAGCTTTAGCAAAGAAATATTGTAGTCCATCCTCTGTGTGTCTCTTTGTTCCATATCGTTAGCGTGGAGGGTGGAGGACAGCTCATCACAGCTCTGAAATCCCATGTTTGCAGGGAATCCAAACACTGTGAAATTTTGGATGAAGGATGAGCATTTCCAGGCTTTCCAGCAGAAAGAGACATGGACCTTGGAATCCTGAGACTGAGTGGCAAAGAGAGAACAGACAAGTCAAGTTTTTAAGCGAGGTGGTGCCTGTGGTGAATTTTCGTCTAAATGAAGACATTTCAGCAAAACATTTCAGTTTCATCGAATCAGCATTTTCCAACAAAAGCTCTCACGTAGGCTTATAAGGCATTCTAGTGAGGGGTGAGGTTTGGATTCCACCTCTTTAGACAAGCTATTTGATCATATTTTTGTTGGCCAGAAAATTGAAACTTTGGCCTAAGTGGCAATTTGCAAGTCTGTGGTAGAATTGCTTTGCCTTTAGCACAGCAGAATTCTACACATCTCACTTGAGACAGAGTTATTCTTCTGATTTGTGCTGTAGTAGTTGCCCACCACTAAAACCCTGATTGTCACAGAGACTGAATACACCTTCAGAAGAGACCTCTTGTGTCTCACAGTTGACAACCAAAATAGGGGTCCCAGAACAGACCCCTGCAGAAGCATTACACTTCAGAGAAGTGCTCACCTGTTTTCACTGCAAATACTTACAGAAAATGAATGGATATTTACTGCTCAGCCTGATTGGATTTTCCCTGTGGCCAGAGGAAGGTCAAAGAACACTGAAAATCTTATCACTGAGGGACTACATTCAGGTGTTATTTAGACTCATCTGCAGACTCCTGTGACTTAACCCCACCTTTTGCTGTTGTCAGCTCATCTAGATTCCTGACATTTAGTACCTCACTTCATGCCTTGAGCTCTACTATTTAACTACAGCTTTGGACTATTTATGTCCCTGCCATGATATTGTGCTAATTGGCAACCAGTCTCTTTTGATACACCAGCCTAAAAGGAGAAGTTCCGTCAACTTATTTCCACCTCTTGGATTTATAGTCTGGTCTGTTTGCCTTGGCTTGCAGGCTGGGTGTGATAACCCAGCCCCATGCTGCTGATGCTGGGATGCAGGCTGGCTGAGCAGTGGGAAAAAGTCATTGGTGGATCATTAATGAAGAATGCTCCTACATGATTTAAGCTAAGCAACCAAATCCATTTTCACAAAATGGATTCTACTAGCTCAAATCTAAGTTGAGGGAGATATTTTTGGTTTCATTTATAGGAACTAATTAGCACCGCATGAATTGGTTGGGTTTCAATGCCAACAGGGGCAAAGCAAGCTTACCCCACCAGTGTGTTAGGCAAGCCCTGCTGTCATCGTCCTCCTCTGCACTTGGGGGTTTTTTTGGATTGAAGAAAGTCAATCATGCTGAAATGTGTATTAGTTTCATGGGGAAAACAGAGTAACGCCAAACATCCCTCACTTCACTTGTGATCTGAATAGGATTTGACTACATTCTTAGTAGGATCGGGACCATTCTGAGAAAACATGGGCTAAGACTGCTTTTGCCTTCACAGAGCCAGTTTTTCTTATAAGTGTCACTTTGGGTTTGTTAAAATGGTGAAACTCGGAAATATTTAGTAGGTGTTTTCATTCCTTTAAATAGGGTTATGACTGCCACTTCTAGAGCTGTGTTCAGTCACATTGTATAGTAATAAATATCTATATCTTGGCCTTACCCAGACAGAAAAATGGCAGTTATGAAAAATTATTGTTTACAGTTTCAAAAAGCCATGAAGTTTAAAAATGTAAAATCATTTAAGTCAGTGTGCACATGCTGCAAGCCTTAGGATCTTAGGATTTATATGCAATGGTGTGTAAGATGTCTGAATGTTTGTTAAAGCGTTTTGATAAACTTGTCACGCTAAACATTTCTTATAATCACATGTGAGGGGGTTTTGCATAATGAAAGAAAATGCCATCCATATATAATATCTGTAAAATACTGCCTCTCTGATCATGGACCCCTGATGTAAGCAAAACTTCACTGAAGGTTTTTTTTTCTTTCTTATTTGCCAAGAAAGTGAAGTAAAGTCAACAAAGTACAGAAAATAACTGTTCTGAGATGTTTTATTTTTTTTTTCCCAGAACTTTCCATGAATCATCATCAACTATTTGAAAAAAATATTCTACTAAAAATGTTTAGTACTCTCCTTTCTTTCTTTTTCATGCCAGTTGACTTCAAGGAGCTATTTTCCAGTGCAAGGAATCTGAGATAAGTTGGTATTTCTATAAGGAAAGAAATGGCCCACTTAATTCCCAGGGGGAATAGGGAAAATCCTGAAATTAGTTTGTTTAACTCACAAACAGAATGTGATAAACAAAGTTATTCCACTTTTGCTGCTGTGGGTCCGTTCAGTTACATTTACTCTTCTTTTCTAGGTACAAGAGTCTTTCTCTTTGACTTTGGTTTGAGGCCACCCAGCTGTGTGTCTAATGTGCAGCTGGAGGGATCTGCCCATTCTGGCCATTACAGACTCGCTTTCTGCTCAACTTTCCTACTTTGCTGCTATGAGTACTGCAGGCAGCATAGTACTCCTGCTGACACTCTTGCTTTAACCAAACCCAGTGTGAGCACAGGGGTTTTTCTTGGCAGTTTGTGATCATTTTTTTTTTAAACAAGAACTTGTTGATGTCATCCTAATCTCAGCTAACCTTGTCTCACCCATCTTCTGCATTTTGGTAACCTCAGTGGGTTAGAGGTTGATTTTAACCCCCAGAGACCATAAGCCAGAAGGTTATGTGGGTAGTAAGAAGATGAGGTCAGTTGTGGTACACTGCAGTGGGAACCTGCTTATATTACATATTTCAGAAAATACCAGCCACTCGATCTAACTGCCTCTGTGACAGACCACAGCAAGGTAATTATTTAGCCAACAAAAAGAGGAGGAGGACAAACTTAGTAAATATTAGTGTTTCTGCAGAAGAAAAAGGGCTAAACTAATATTCTAAGTCCCTTTCTATGATTCACACTCAACCTGCAGCAATTGTTGGGACGTCTAACAACAGCAGAACACAACAAATTCTGCTGTTTTCCTCAAACCAAAATACCTTAGGCCTATAATACACTTTGTGGCTGGAGGAAGTCCTGCAGGGTTTTGACCTGCCTTAATATTTTCCAAGTACTAAGGATCACTCATCTTGATGAAAATGAAGAGAAGAGGTGGAGAAAATAGATGGGGAAAAAAGAAGGGAGCCCTGAGAAGCAAATGACCTCATGTGCTTCCCTTTAAGAAGTGGAACAGTCTTGGTGAGGCTGTTGGAGAAACTCAAGTTCTTCATGCAAAGCAAGTGTATAAATGTCTATGGTGTCATGGCATAACCCCTGTGTCTGATAACCAAACACTGTATTTTATTTTGTTGCAATTCAGAAGAGTTGCTTAAAAGCTGTTCACACCTGTTAACCCACTGCTGATACTTTTCCCCTCCTGGAATTAGTGTCTTCTCTGACAACCCAGGGGCCTGCTGTGGAAATAATTATGATATTGCAAACACAGAATTATAAACATGGGAAAGGACAAGGAAGAAAAATACCTATGATATCTGAAAGAAATGTAGATCATAGTGTCATGCAAGTTATAATGCCTTCACTGAGGAAAAGAACTATGGAAAAAATAAGGCAGAAATAAGGGAAAAGTAGATTCAGTTGCACCTCTCATACTAGAAAAAACAGCTTTTTAAAGATGTTCTATATGTTAAAAGTTTCATACTGGAAAACAGATTTTTATTCCTATCTATTACCTCCCCGTAAAATACAAAACACTGATATTTGGAGAAGACTCAATAACAACAGTTCTCAGGCAGAGGTTTGAAAAATTGTCTGTCTCAGGATTATCCTAGGAAAAGCCAGCATCCCTTGCCTTGCTTTGCATTTTAATGTTCTTATTGGAAAGACATGTTAGCTCTGAACATACGAACAGTGGGTATCAGCAAGACAACACCAAGAAAAATACCCTCAGCCACAACAACTGAAGAGTCAGAAAGATTCACTAAGACTCAGGATTTCAAAATCACAAATAGACATTTTTTTTTTTGCTGAAGATCTTCAGAAAGAACCTAGGTATCTAGTAAGTATCAGTAATACACTTACCAATGCAAAAATCAGAAACTTGGCAATTCCATCCTCCCATCTTTGAGCTCAGTAAGCAACTCTGCATTTGACCCTTTTATTTGCTAGTCCTGTGAGGATGTTGGTGGGCTCAGCTCTGAGCCCATCACACCAAGCCAGGCCATGAGGGGACCTGAAGCTTCACACAGGAGACTTGGAGGTGGTGGAGAGGCTTCCCCAAGAGAGGCACTGGCACCGGGTCTGCTCAGACCCGCTGCCGCCCAAGAGAAGGCACTTGTGAGCAAAACTTGTAAAGCCCAGGGGGAAGGTGAAATAAACCCCCCTCTACCTACGCATGCAATTTCCAGTTGGATCTAAAGAGAAGTCAAATTAAAAGAAAGCGCTTGGGTCTTATCTCAGAGGGGTACTTGTGGCAGGAGAAGAATGGGTCTCTTGGTTATATCAAGTTGATCCATGTGCAGTCCTAGCAGCATGCTGTCTCTCCGCTTTCATCCAAACACAGAACAATTAGTGCAAAATTAATTCAAAGCTATACTAGACCTTCTACCCCTTGATGATCAAAGTGAGGAAAAATAGTGGAAAGGATTGAAATGTGGGGGGTTTTTGTTACCTGTTACATCAGCAGTGGGGATGAAGCAGAGCACCACGAGGATCCCCAGGAGCATGGTGGTAATGGTGGGCCCTATGCCTTGTCCCCACCCCCTGCAGGCACTGCCACGTCTCCCAGGGCCCCACGCCAACAACCTTCCTTCCCTGTGGGGCCAGCCTGCACCCTCGGTTGCTCACACTACTCTCCTCCTCCCTCTGCAGCACATGATACACTGCCAGGTGAAACCACTGTAATCGCAATGCTTGAACAGGAAGTTAATTTGTTTGATGATTTTAGTCTTTGGAAGTTGCGTCTGCAAAGCTCAGTAATGCTTAAAAGGTAATGGAAGTCTGCCTTTCAAAGTAGGGACTATCGGCCCTGTATCGAGAGACGTGCTTGTGTTTGTGGCTCTGCAAGGCTGCTCCTGTCGGGGAGGAATGGACATCCCTGGAGACGCAGTGCTCTTTCTTTACCAAGAGGACATACAGACTGTTTCCATCTGGTTCCATCACCATGGTAGAAGCAAACACCAGTGGCCGGACCTGACCCTTCAGGAAGTTGTGTGCTCAGGAAGCTCCATCTTTTCTCACTCTTAGGAGCAGAAATCTTCTTCTCTTGGCCTGCTGGCTTGCTTCTGCCTGCCTTCCCAGCCCCTGGGAACGCTGACGTATTTTGGCAGTGGTTTGTTCACATTCATTTTTCTGCATCTGGTTGCTGTCTGAGTGCAGAGCAAATAGTGCAAGAAACAGCGATCTGGTATACCTTCACATTTGAAAAATGTTATGAATTAGTGCAACTGTAATCCAATTAACATCTAAGTAGGGGCAGCATGCAGCAAACACACTTCTCAGTCAGTGCTTTCACAGAGGTCTTATTATGTGAAGTTTTTCTCTTCAACTTACTGGGTAAATGCTCGCTCTTCTTCTTTGCCTTGCAAGTTTGATGTCACCTCTTCCCTTGCAAGAGCAGGGTTGTGAGAGCTAGTTGATGTAATTTATAACTGGGAGGAGCTCAGGTTATTAACTATTTATTTTGGTCCACCAAAATAGAAATATTTAATGGTATCAATGCCTATCATTATCTGAGATTTATTTGAGAGAAAAGGGAAGGTGTATAGCAGGAAGACTTTCAAGAAAATTGGGCTGTTTTAGAAAGGGATGAAGAGCCATGCACTGTTCTTTCATTTCCCTTAGTATCTGAGGTCTTTAGGCCATGTTTTGTCAGAAATTACAAAAACAATTTAAAAGCAGCTTTAGCTGGTATATCCATTTGCAGTCTAGGAATTTTAACAGTATTCTTTTGTTTTGTAACCTGTGTAAGTTGCCTGCAGTACTGAAAGTTTTGGAATTTCCTCGTACTTAAAAAATAGAGAAAAAAGTCAGATCCTCTCTTTCTTAGCCCACTCTCGCGGCTTCTATATAAATGCCCTAACACATTTTTTGAGTCACATGAGTGTACCTGCAGTTATCAATGAGATAGTCTCAGCTTAACTTGAAGTGAGAATCCTTCAACAAAGTTACAAAATTCAGTATCTTTTTGCTGAACTGTCCTGTGTCAGATATGAAAACTCAGTGTTGTCACATCTTCTCGCTCAGGTAACTCAGCTTACACGGTCTGGATTCTGGCTGTCAGATCCTTTCCGTATTTGGGATAAGGACTAGAAATGCACAAGGAGTACATTTTACCCTCACCACAGAATTAGCAGAATATATCGCAGAGACAGACCTACTGCCATTAATTTCACTGGCACATGTTGGCAAAGGGGCACCATTCGCACAGAAACCTGATTATGGAAACAGTTGTGTAGGAGGAGATTCTGCCCTAAGAATACCACTAAGACCATGAGGAACAGTGTGCACTCCCTGAGTGAGGACCTATTTATTCCCTTCCCTCTCTTATTACTCCTCATGTGCCTCTCCCATTGTGAGGACAGACCAAGGCACTGACTGAGAACAGGGACTGGACTGGTGGAATAAAGGAGAGGGAAAAGGAGCCACTGAGCAATTATCCAGTGTGACTCTAGAGACCAAGCTGTGATGTATCATTGCTCTCTGTGAATAGAGGTACCAGGTGCCCTTTTCAGAGCCTCTTTTTTTCAATAGTGATTTCAGTTTTACCTTTTTTTCCCCCAAAAATAGCTCTTGGGTCACCTGCATTTCTTGATTTTCTAGCATTTTAAAAGGGTACAAACCATCATTGTGTTCCTAAGGGTATGTCTCCATTCCTTCTCCAAACTGCAGCTCTTTCTCTCATTTGAACAGTTCATTTCCAATTACTTAGACACTTGACTTGTCAGCTCACATGTATGATCTTTTTCTTTTACCAAAGCTATCATGAGGGTATGGGATGAAGATATTATAGCTTTCAGCAAGCCATCTTGCACTTAGGACAAACCACATAAAAGTTTATCTAAGATAAAAAGCATGAGAAAATTCCCCTCAGTATGTCCTCACTCTTAAATTTTCATTATTCTCCTACCTCTCTAAGTATCTCTCTTTCCATATGCTGAGCATTACCCAAGGGTATTCTGCTGGAACATTAATTCAGGCACTATTGACTTCTATTCTTACCCCATTTTGCATTAAGATTTCACTCTGTTGAGCCTATATGCATGCTGGCAGACAGGATCTGCTTGCTGTCACAGCAATGGAAATCCCAACTAACATTATAATTTCAGTGGAGCTAGAGATGTGAGAGCACTGCAAGAGCTAAAAATGCAATTTGGCCATGTTTGGGAAAAAGGATTTTTCCATCCCATCACAAAATGGCTGAAATTGCAGTCAAACAAAAGTAAAGTAAAAATTTGTAAATGAGTTTTCAGGGTGCACAAGAATCTAGACTATTGGGCTTGGGCTTTTTACTCATTGCAGTATGTAAATAAAACAACAGTCTAGGCATTTGATCACAGCTTTTCATGCTTACTATTAGAAAAACAAGCACTGACAGGAGCTATGACTGGAGTTTTAGAGAAATCTGACATGATCTAGAATGGTTTATCAAGGATTTTCTGGATATCTTTGAAAGAATCCCAAGAAATCCCAAGCAGGCTGCCAGGTTGCCTTCATGTTAAAGAATGAGGAAGTAATGACCTGCATATCCTGAGCCAAGTGCTCAGCTGTTAGTCAAGAAAGACATTCCAGATTTGTTATGATTAAACAAGTGAATAGTTTAGAAGTTAACTTTAAAATAAATGAAGTCTTCCTTAAGTCACTGGGAGTTGTGTAGTACCATAATTGTTCCTGTTCTCAAGCAAATAAAAGTATATATGCATACTAGAAGAGCAATTGCATCAATATATTGTCATTCACTTATTTCTGAGGACTCCAATCTAATGGGAGAACTGTAGGTCACTAAAATTCCCTGTAACTACTATAGACAATTAACTTTTAAGTCCCTGGACTATCCTGCAACTACATTTAACTAAAGTTAAATTTAACAGTTGTCTGAGAGAACCTTCCTCTTTTTCCCCTGCCATAAAGAATCCTGACACAGACTCTGAGCGAGTAGTCTCAGTAGGCGTTTTGCTTGTTCTGCATTCTGGTGTGTTGTCAACTGCTAAAGTAAATGCTCTCTTTCCTAGAACAGTAATTCTTAAAACATCTTTATTCTTCCATCGCTGCTGCAAGTAATGATTTGTTTTGAATAGTGGTATGCATCCTTGGTACAGATGAAAGGTTGATGCTTTCACATCTTTCTTACAAGGAAAGTGTGCTTTAACTAGCTGCTGTAGAACTACAGAAGTGGGGTGAGAGAAAGGGTGTAACAAATGGACATGCTATTTTTAACTAGAACAATGAATGATCTGTGTTATTTACCTCCTACTGCATTCAGTAAGTTGGCCCTAAGGAGTTACATTGCATTTGTCATCTGAAGCACTTCATAAAGATGCGTGTTGTTATCTTCACTTTACAGATGGGGAATGGAATCACAGAAAGGCAAGAGACATGCCCAAGGACATACCTTAGGTGAGAGTCAGAGATAAGAACCTCTACAAGTAGCCCCAGTAAGCTCTTTACCTTCCATGGTCTGATTGGTTTTCTGATGGCTTCCACTCTATAGTGTCATTTCCTTTGCATACTGATGACTTTTTGCCAATATTGTGTCTTTTCACATCCTTCTTTCTGTGAATCCAGGTGTGGTGTCCTCATACTACAAGTGCCACCATCACACTTAGAAAGGAAAATCAGTATACTCCTTCAGAGGGAATTTTAAGTTGTTTTTCTGTAATTTTAAATGTTACAACTGATGTCTGGTACGTAGGAAGCTTCCAGGGTCAGAATTTAATAAGACATGTCACAGTGGAAAGAGAGCTTTCTCTTTTGGAAAGACATTACATTTTTGTTTCCAGGCCTCAAGATAGCGGCCTATAAATGTGTCACTAATGTAGGACTAAGTGCTACCATCAAATGTGTATAAATTTGAGAGAGAGCTTGAGAGAAGCCTTCCCTATTTGGGGAAAGAAACATTTCCTTGACAGTCTGATTATTTTTAATGCCAATAGCTGGAAGCTGTTCATTAGTGTTTGTTGGGAAAGGGGCAGAAGTTCACACATATGTACATTCCTGGCTCTTTTCAAGTTAAAAAATCTCATCCAAGTTTCAAAGTTGTAACTGTTTCTTCTGGCTGTACCTATTCCTGGTTTGGACTGTTAGAACAAGTCTCAGAGGAGGTGGATTAATGGGTAGAGGGAGGGAGAATAGCTCAAAGCTGTGTGATTAATTCCATCTGTCACACCTGCCTGTAATCTGACACATAGCTGCTGCTTCATTGGAGGCCACGTGTTTAGGTAGGAACACTTGAAATAAAGCCCACAGGTGAGTGCATATATGCTAAATGTACTGTGATACAAGGGTTTTTAGATTAAGGTTTAAAGAAGAATGATTTCTGTTTACTGCACTGCCTGCTCCTCTTTTCTCTTGGGTAAAGAAGGTGGAGACTCCTGCATATTACCACTGAAGATGTGGCAACAAAGCAATGTTGTCCTGCATAGGAGGGAGTTCAGAATGCCTCATTTTTTTAGAGGGAGACAATTTATTTCCCTCTTCTTTGCCCTGCTGAAGAAAAAAGATATGAATA